CACACTGCACCCCTGAGACTCACAGCACACACACACTGCACCGCTGACACTCACAGCACCCACACACACACTGCACCCCTGACATGCACAGCACCCTCACTCACACACACTGCACCCCTGACACAGCACACACACACTCACATCACCCTCACTCACACACACACACTGCACACCTAACACTTACAGAACCCTCACACACACTGCACCCCTGAGACTCACAGCACACACACACTGCACCGCTGACACTCACAGCACACACACACACACACACACACTGCACCCCTGACATGAACAGCACCCTCACTCACACACACTGCACCCCTGACACAGCACACACACTGCACACCTAACACTTATAGCACCCTCACACTCACACACACAGACACTGCACCCCTAACACTTACAGCACCCACACACTGCACCCCTGACATGCACAGCACACACCCTATCTGGCCCCGCCCCCTTTGTAGTGGGCCGCTGTAATTAAAAAATGCCCGGGCCGAATTATCTTCCCAGTCCGGCCCTGTACACTTGTATGCATATATATGCACTCACACGCACACTGACAGGTGCACACAGACACACACATACACTCAGACATTCACAGGCGCACACACATAGTCAGACACTTACACAGTGGTGTATTTTAATTTTGTGCTGCCCGAGGCATGACTAAACCTGAGCACCCACAATTTAAATTTACCACTGTGGCAAACCTAGCCACTTGGGACTGCCTAAGATAGAATGGTTGTGCCTATTTTCTGTTGTGTACTGCGCGCCGGTATAGTGTGGCGTCTCCGGCTATGTTTAATTTATGCTGTACTGTGTATGTCTGTTCGAATCCTCCCCATTAGTTAGCATTGCTATTAAAACTGACTAAGTTGTATATTTTGAAGTAGAAAGGTAACGGTTTATGTCCTCGTAGTTTTCATTAGTGTATGTTACAGCAGGGGCTGTTGGGAGGAGGACCTGGAAACGGTAGTCTCCCTCCAGTCCCCTCAACCAAAACCCCTGCTGCCCATCTTTGGAAACCCCTGTTGAAATATCAGTTATTTTTAATAAAGTGACAGTTGAGTGACCTGCTTTAAATATCAGTCTTTTTGAATAAAGTGGCAGCTGACTCTCAGACTGTGTTTCGTCTGGTTCTTGGGAGGATTTGGGAATATTGCCTGCTTCCAGCTTTGTACTTGGTTATTGCATTCTACCAGCAGAGATCCTGGGATTATAAAATTGCAGCTCTGCAACAATTGGTGGCAAGCGGCGGATCCAACCGTACAGCAGGAAAAACGCTGTTTATACAATTGGAATTGGCATACTGGAAAGCAGAAGGCAATTGATACAGATGCAGAAGTGAATGGGGACGGACTACACCATATTGAAACGGCAAACGTTAAAGGAGCTGTTGGAAGCCAGGGGTAAGATAGCCAGCAATAAGCCTAAAGCAAGACTTATTGCCGAGCTAATGGAAGGAGACCGAGCTCGTAGTGCTACACCCCCAGCAAACATGGAGGAGACCCCATTTGAACGAGAAATGAGGACAAGATTGGCATTTTGGCCCGCTCCAGTATCTCCAGAAATTATGACCATAATTTCGGCGGATGCACAGGAGTACGTGATGGCGCAAAGGAATCAAGCCTTCTCACCTCAAGCAGAAACCGCTGCTGTTTCAACTGTGGGCCAGGGAAGGCCAAAAATACCACATCATGCATTTAAAACTTTTTGCGAGGATAAAGACGAAATAGATGGATTCTTGCAAGATTTTGAAAGATTGTGTGACTTGCATGATGTAGAGCAAGCTATGTGGGTACCTTTGTTGGCAGGCAAACTGTCTGGGCGTGCAGCAGACGCCTACCGGGCTGTACCCAGAGAGGACAGCAAGAATTATGACAAGGTAAAGCAGGCGCTATTAGAAAGGTATGCCATTACCCCAGAGGCATACCGGCGCAAGTTCCGAGAATTGAAAAAAGGGGACAAAGACTCACATGCGGAGTGGGCACACAAGCTTGACCAAGCCTCACAAGGCTGGATACAAGCCAGCAGAGCTACCACCATGGAAGAGTTACGCCAGATGTTGCTACTGGAGCAGTTTTGTAATGGCCTGGCACCAGAGGCTCAAGAATGGGTGAATGACCGAAATCCTCACACCCTAACCGAAGCGGCACGATTGGCCGACCAACATTATGATGCTAGGAGGCATCATAAAAATAATAACCGAGGGTATGCAAAACCCAACCCGCAACCGTTTCCAGTTATTGCTCCTGCCCCAGCGACAGCACCATCCAGACCAGCACTTGTGGGACAACCTCCCCACTCCCGTTATAATGGCAGGTCCAACATCCAGTGCCATGCCTGTAAGCAATGGGGGCACATGGCCCGGGAGTGCACCCAAAACCGGAGCCGCAAGAACTGGAATCAGCTCCGGCAGAATATGGCCCCGCGGGCAGCTGCTCATTATTATCATGCAGAGCCAACTTTGCCAGGAGTGCCGCTTGAGTCGGCTGATGAACCCCTGGGCGTTTTGCACGATGTAATGTCCATCCATGCTACTGACAACCGACAACCACATTGCCAGACCGTGACTCTGGAAGGGAAAGAGGTACAGGGGCTACGTGATTCCGGCGCTACCTTAACTTTGGTTGCCCCGCATTTGGTGTCAGGATCAGCACATACCGGGGGATCGGTAGCAGTCCGGGTAGCAGGGGGTGCCATGTACCGGCTACCAACTGCCAAGGTACATCTGAATTGGGGTGCGGGGGAAGGTATGGTGGAGGTGGGGCTGATGCACAAGTTACCAGCTGATGTTGTTTTGGGGAATGACCTGGGGCAAATGACTTCCGCTTTTGTGCCCCAAAGTCCTCGCCATGAGGCATATCCAGTGACCACCCGTCAGCAGGCTCGCACCACGGCTTCATCTTCCACACACTCTGAGGCTCAGGTAAGAGACAATGTACCCCATGTAACCCGTGTTTCCTGGGATACCCCGACTGACTTTGAGGCAGAGGTTAAAAACGATCCCACGTTGCAAATTTATAAGGATAAGGCGACAGCTGGTCAGACAGGTTTTGAGGGAGAACAGTATGTATGGGAGAAAAATCTGTTATATCGTGTTGCTGAGCGGGTGGTAGGGGGGTCTGTACATGTGACTAATAAGCAGCTTATAGTGCCCCAGAAATACCGGCAGGAACTGCTTAGAATTGCCCACGATATTCCGCTGTCTGGGCATTTAGGGATGACAAGAACGAGGTACAGATTGACACATGCATTTTTCTGGCCAGGTATATCTAGAGATGTGAGACAGTATTGTCAGACATGTGACATTTGTCAGAGAGTGGGAAAAAGGGGTGACCGCCACAAAGCGAAATTGTGCCCCCTTCCCATTATTGAAGAACCCTTTAGCAGAGTAGCAGTGGATATAGTAGGACCACTGTCCAAGCCTAGCCCTTCCGGCAAGCGGTATATTCTGACCATTGTAGATTATGCCAGGGCCGGATTAAGAGCACAGTGGGCCTGGTGCTGACAATTATAATGGGCCTAATTACGGAATCTTATCGACCAAAAACACTAAAACAATCATACCTCCCAAGCGTCATGTATCTGATGGAGATGGTGCTGGAGGGAAACTCATAGGATGCAGTTATAAGAAAACACGTTAGCGAATGTTGTGCCCATTTACAAGAAAGGTAATAGGGAGGAGTCGGGCAACTATAGGCCAGTAAGCCTTACTTCAGTAGTGGGGAAAGTGATGGAAACCATGTTAAAGGATAGGATTGATGAACATCTAAAAACACATGGATTTCAAGATCAGAGACAACATGGGTTTACTTCAGGGAGATCATGCCAAACTAATCTTATTGATTTTTTGATTGGGTAACTAAAATTATAGATCAGGGTGGTGCAGTAGACATTGCTTACCTAGATTTCAGTAAGGCTTTTGACACTGTTGCACATAGAAGGCTTATCAATAAACTGCAATCTTTAAGTTTGGATTCCAATATTGTTGAATGGGTAAGGCAGTGGCTGAGTGACAGGCAACAGAGGGTTGTAGTTAATGGAATATATTCGAAGCTTGGACTTGTCACCAGTGGGGTACCTCAGGGATCTGTACTTGGACCCATTCTCTTTAATATTTTTATTAGTGATATTGCAGAAGGTCTTGATGGTAAGGTATGTCTTTTTGCTGATGATACTAAGATATGTAACAGGGTTGATGTTCCAGGAGGGATAAGCCAAATGACAAATGATTTAGGTAAACTAGAAAAATGGTCAGAATTGTGGCAACTGACATTTAATGTGGATAAGTGCAAGATAATGCATCTTGGACGTAAAAACCCAAGGGCAGAGTACAGAATATTTGATAGAGTCCTAACCTCAACATATGAGGAAAGGGATTTAGGGGTGATTATTTCTGATGACTTAAAGGTAGGCAGACAATGTAATAGAGCAGCAGGAAATGCTAGCAGAATGCTTGGTTGTATAGGGAGAGGTATTAGCAGTAGAAAGAGGGAAGTGCTCATGCCATTGTACAGAACACTGGTGAGACCTCACTTGGAGTATTGTACACAGTACTGGAGACCGTATCTTCAGAAGGATATTGATACCTTAGAGAGGGTTCAGAGAAGGGCTACTAAACTGGTTCATGGATTGCGGGATAAAACTTACCAGGAAAGGTTAAAGGATCTTAACATGTATAGCTTGGAGGAAAGACGAGACAGGGGGGATATGATAGAAACATTTAAATACATAAAGGGAATCAACACAGTAAAGGAGGAGACTATATTTAAAAGAAGAAAAACTACCACAACAAGAGGACATAGTCTTAAATTAGAGGGACAAAGGTTTAAAAATAATATCAGGAAGTATTACTT